CCAGACATCTCCTTTGCAGTCAATGTGGTGAGCCAATTTATGCAGAACCCTCGGATACCTCACTGGGATGCAGTTCTTAGAATTGTAAGGTACCTTAAGGGAGATCCAGGCCGTGGGTTATTGTACAAACCAAGAGGAAGACTTGAGATAATTGGGTATACAAATGCAGATTGAGCAGGCTCTGTGTCTAATAGAAGATCTATTACAGGTTACTGCACATTTTTTGGAGGAAATCTTGTGACATGGAAGAGTAAGAAGCAAACGGTTGTGGCAAGGAGCAGTGCTGAAGCCGAATACGGAGCCATGGCACACACTACATGTGAATTAGTATGACTGAGGAATCTCCTATAAGAAATCGGGTTCTCCATGGATAGACCTATGAAATTGTACTGTGACAATCAAGTTGCACTCCACATCTCATCTAACCCTGTTTTTCATGAGAGAACAAAGCACATGGAGATTGATTGCCACTTTGTGAGGGAGAAGGTCCTTACTGGAGAGATAAGTATAGAACATGTGGGCTCAAGTGATCAATGGGCAGATTTGTTTACAAAAGGCTTAAGCTCAGGGAGAGTGAACTATATATGTAACAAGCTAGGATTATATGACATATATTCTCTAGTTTGAGGGGGAGTGTTAGAGCTAGCCGAATAAGGGTAGATTAGTCATTTTATTTCTGTTAAGTTATGTGCTTATGTGGTAGTTTTAATAGAGACTTCATGTCCCATACTTAAGTGGGGGGCAGTTTAGTCTTTGTACAACTAATTAGAGGCTAATTCATATTAGGGTCGACTGATAGGGTTTATGTTATCAGATTCAACAGTTTATGGTAGATTCGACCGATAGGGTTTATGCTTCCTCTGGTTCGAACTACTGAAGCCACTGAGATAACATTATGGAAGTTCCTCCATCTATCTCTGTTGGACCGTTTGGAAAGTGAGGAGTACCAAAATACTTGATGAGAAACCTTTGCGGTGGAAGCCACCACTGGACAAGTGGTGAGTCTTATGCGTTGTTGGGCCTCTACTCTTAAGGTTTTCGAGTAATCATCATCTGAGCCTTGCCCCGACTATATGGAGTCAATTACATGAATCCTGTTTTGCCATTGCATTCTGTTCAGAGTTCAGTGCCGTATCCATTGTCAATTTGTAGGTGCTCAAATCATTTCTTACTACTTCCACCCAAGTCCTTTTCAATTTGACCCTAGTTCTTCAAGCCCCCTCAACTTGTAACAGATCAGTTCTTCTAACAGGTGCTGTAAAGTGTCTCCTATGCACATGACCAGACCATGTTAACCACCTGAGTCTACTTTATCTCGTTTTATCACCTGTTGAAGCTACCCCTAGGGTCCTTTGTATCACTTCACTTCTGGCCTTATCCTTTCTAGTTTTACGACTCATCCATCTAAGCATTCTGTTCTGTTCAAGTCATCTAACTACTCTAGGCAATTTGAGGAGACCTTATTTGATGAAAACTTTGTTGTCTGAGTCTGGTTGCCTTTTGTAATTGAATGTTTATGTTTTCCATGTATATCTTTCAACTGTAAGAGGGCCCCTCCCCCTCTTTTCTATTAATAAAATGCTTTACCACTTAATACACACATACACATTTATATTCACTTGCTAGCTCCCTATACATTAAAACCAAGGAAGTCAGTCATCTCTAAAGCCACTACGCATTGCTCAAACAATTATCTTTGCTTTGAATAGTAAGTCCAAATTCACCAAACCATTTTTCAGGCACAAATTGACTTCAAAGAATAATATATCGGAAATAATCAGACCACCTATATTAAAACCAACATCTGGAAGAGATGCACATGCACGTCTAACTACCAAAAATATATAAATATACTATGCATAAAACAAACTCCATACAGATTGATGTTGAAGCCCCGACCAACTTCTGCAACTCAAGCATTATTGAGTTCTTTGAAACCAAAAGGAAGTACAAATAACAAACCAGATAAAAAAGAAGTCTTTCTTGAAGCCCAAGCTTGCACAGTAAAGACTATTACCAGACCAGCCAACGACTTTGAAAATTAGGATTCCAAAACTACTGTCCAAACCAACTTATAGCAACTTAGCAAAAATTAATAACAATTAAAAAATAAGACCAAATCTGTTACTACTTCTACGATTTAAAAGATATATGTTTCGAACCCCACCACCCCCACCTTTCCAGTATATCTAGTATGTGACGCGAGGTCGAGGAATCACTAATGTATGTCATTTTCATTCAGTGGTTCTACGACAGACCCGGTCAGTAACAATTCCATGGCACATTAAAGTTCCCTCTTGAAGAAAAACATCTAAACTGACATGTCGAAAACAAACAAATGGCATCCTGTTCCCGAAAAAAAAAAAGAAGCCAAAAACCAAACTACAAGGTCGCTAAATTTTAGACCCAATTCAAGTAATAACAAAAAGGACCTTCAAATGAACAAAACAACCTTATCCCAGAAAGAACCAAGGAAAACAAAACTTACCCAAGTACTAAAATCTATCAAAACCCCCAAATCCAACAAAACCCAATTCAAATACCACCAAAACAATCAGAACCCAACCTTCCCATTTCGATCCGTAGATACCCAAGTGATTCAAATGCAAACGACCCTGAAAACAATGAAAAATTTAGAAGAAACTTACATTGCTTCCCTTCCAAGCTTCATATACTCGCTTTGCCATGAGAAATCCTTCTGACTAGGCCGGAAGAGAATCGAATATTTGAAATTTCTGCTTGTTCATCTTCTCGGCATCGAAATTTGTGAAAGAAAAGAAAAAGGGAAAGAAACGCGGTTGGGGTTTCAAGACAAACAATTCTCCCTCGCTCGATGGATTGGTGGGGTGTTGGCCCTGTTGGGTTTACTAATTACTATGGCTTTTCGAGCTCTTAAATGCAGGAAAAACGGGAGATTAATTTCCCTCTCGCAGTGCTTTTCCGATTAAATGCATTTTGGATTGTGGAATGTTTTAGGTAATGTTTCCGGGGATATAGCAGCAAGAAAAACAAGCAGATTCTGTCTCTCCCCACTTTCTGTTCTCCATTTAATTAAAACTAAATGACTATTTTAACCCTAAAGTCTTAAGAGACTGCCCTTTTATTTGGCTTTCATTCAACACGGAAGAAATAGTCATAGAAAAATCAACGCTGGAAAGGTGTTTGGGTCCAACGTGTTCTATGTAGCCACCAGCCTGAACTTTCTTCTATTTCTCTTCTGCTCAGCTTGTTTGGATTTTGGAAGTCTATATCTCCTCTCAATAAAAAATCGTTCTGACATTATTTTTGTCCGCACATCTCGAATATGGTGGATCCCAATCTTGGATTGATATGCATAGATATAAATCATGTTAGAAGAGTGTTGGGACAGTTTTTTTGGTTGGAAGGAGATCCCAACTTAGATTTTGGAGGGCAAAATGTAGACTGCAACTTGTGTTGTATTATAGTTGGGGAGTTCGGATCTGCTCCTTACAAAGCTCCTCGTACCAATCTCACAGCATGTTCTAACTGTACATCGATAACATTTTTCCTACTTGTATGTTGTCATTCTTGAAGAGATGTTTCAAATACATGGCTTTTTTATACTGTGAGGTTGGTGTGAGGAGCAAATCCGAACTCCTAATTAGACCCCTATCATGCGCGGTGAATAAAATTAGCCCTCTAACATCTCTTAGCTTTTCATGTATAGACAAATATTAACTTTTTATATAATAAATAAAGTTTATTAAAAAAAAGAAAGGTGACCAAAAGTCACTCAAGAGGAAAAAAAAAAAAAGAAAAAAAAACTCCAAACCCCCAATGAAGAACCAAGCATACAAGAGAAAAACACTGACAATCAAACTATCCAACCTAGGGAGAGCCCTAGATTGATGATTTATTGTTTTCTTGATAGTAAAAGTCATCTTGAGTTTCATATGAATATTTATTAATAATTATTAATAATAATTAATAATAATTACTTTTTCTCTAACTAAATTTAAAGTCAAGTTAGTGTAAATACTAAATTTAATTTAACTTAACTTTAACGTAATTATTTTTCTATTTTAGCTTAATATATTAAGATTAAGTACTTTTAATTTTAATTTCCCAAGTTATAAGTCAATTAAGTATTAATATATTATTTTAATAATATCCTTATTATATATTAATTGTAACTTGTTTGGTATTAACTTATTTGATATCAATATAATTAATTTAACATTAATATTATTATTAATTCAAGAGGTGGTGATCTACAGACCTCCGATAGGATCTACACAAATTGTACCTCTACAACTTCTTTACCATTCTTGCCTCTCATGGTACCATCAAGCATCATTTGGTATTAGATTTGGAGAAATTGATATTTAAGCTAAGAACCAGAACCTCAACAAAGAAACTAATTGCACCATTGTTGAGATTCAATTTGATCGTTTCCCTTCTAACCTTGATGACATTGTTGAAATTGAAATCAATCTTAACATCACTTACACCCTTGGGCCTTGGCCCCAATTCATTGTTTGAGATCCCTCTATTTACTTGGTATAAATGTGGCTTCTTTATTTTTTAACCACGATTTAGTTATTGTATTAGTTAGTACTATATTTATTATTTAGCTAACTTAATTATCTTTAGTTAATTAGGTTAATTATATAGTCATTTTAGTAATTAGTTTTTTAGTTGTTTAAACAATTTATAATCTTTTTATCAATTTAATAATTAATTATTTTTTATTGTTTAACTATTATACTCCTTATTTAATTAATCATTTGTATTTCCTAACAATTTTATTTAAGTTAATTAAGTTAAAATGGGAGATGCTAATGTAGGGATTTTCATGTTGTTACTTGTTAAAGAAAATAAAGGAAAATAAAAAAAGACAAAATTTAGAGGGGTCTAAGGAGAGAAAAGAGGGCATGTGATGTGGGTGGGACCGGAGAATAGAGAGGGTGTCATGTTGTTACTTGTGAGAGAAAGAAAATAATAAAAGGATAAAACTTGGTAAGGGACCTCTAACATGGAACCTTTTGCTTTAGTATATAGATATAGATTATACAATAAGTTTGGAAACTTAAAATCCCACCTAGATTCAAAGTCTTTATTGTGAAAGATTATTTAGGATTTTGTGCTATTGAAAGACAGATGTCTTGTATAAAAGAAGCATTACTTCTAATAGAGTTGGTCTTATGTATAGTTCCTCTCATGAAACATCAATTTGTTTGTTTTACTCATGTCCTTTTACAAAAGCCATTTTGCTTACAAGCCCTTGGGGTTTTTATTTTCTTGATGTTCATTTTTCTTTTGTACCCCAAATTTTACTCCCAATGAAGGGATGTAAAGCCTTACCCCTAGAGAAGCAATACAAAGGGCCATTAGTTCATGATAAAAAAAGATGGTCACACCCAAACCCAGGCTCAAATATATACAAAAAGTACCTCATTTGCAAGAGCAATACCCAATCTATTTATATACATGAGAGTTTCAATCCTGTCAGGAAGCTTGGCAAAAGCTATGAAAAGTCCTATGATGAGCAATGTCACTCCCTAACTTTGAAAGGGCATCTGCTACTTCATTTGTTTATTTGTAAATATGCACAAAAAATGCCTCAAGACTTTATGTTGTCCCCTTGAATCTCACTCTTCGATACTATAAGCTCCATGGTAAACAATAAACATCTTGAATTATATTGTAGAGAACTTGGGAATAAGTTTCCACCACTAACTTTTGAATTCTCAAGGTTCTACTCAGCTTTAGCCATCCAACAGGCTTGGCAACTTCAGAAAATAAAACTATGTTGTTTGGGAGAAGTTTTCTAGAGAGGGTTATGTACATAGGTTAAATAATCAAATGTGAAGGAATATGATAGATGAAGGAAAATGGCATATACTTATTTTTTATCCCTCCTTTAATTTTTATTTTATTTATTACAAGGGAACATGTTATGCATATGTGCAAGTAAAAGTAAAATTAAAAGTATTGACCATATATGATTTGACAATCTAATTTAGCTTTTATGGATTATATCTAAATGAAAGAATTGGCATTATATATATGTATGTATGTATGTATTCTTTTATGATATATTATAGGAGATGGGATTTCAAGTTTTATGCACAACCCTAACAAGGTGCAATTACCTAATTTATTCATGAGCCAAATTTCGTAACAAATTACCTTGATAGCATGAAAAAAGCTAGTCAATTGTGGTTGTATGCCTAAGGAAAGAAATTGCACATGTTTTATATGAATAGTCATCTAGAATGACAAATTGTTAAGGAAAAGTATGGAAATTATTACTAGAAGTATTAGAGGGTTACATAGAAGCTTAAAGAAACAAATGTTAGGTTTTGTGACAAATCATAGCTGTTTAGGAAACCTATGCCTTTAAGTTTTATGTAGGCTAGTGTAAGGGCATGTGTTATGCATGCCTACAAGGGTAAAATATAAGTTGTCATGATATAATCAAATTTAACTTTTACTACACCAAGACCAAGGAAATTATCCCTTTTATAATAGTATAAATGGTTATATAGGTTGGTTAAAGAACATAGTTTGTGAAAAGAATAAATGAAAAAATGGTCATTTTTTATTTTTATTTAGTTTTATTTTATTTATTATTAGTATAAGGACATGTGCTATACATGTCCAAGTGATGATAAAAGTATTAACCTTATATGATATTATAGTATAATTTAACTTTTATTACTAGCACTATGACAAAGGCTAGTATCAGCATTATATGGTACTAGTATAAGGATAGGTGTTGTGTATGTTTATATGAAAAGATAAATGGATAAAAATATATGAATACTAACCTTGCATGCCGCTACCATACTATAATTTAGCTTTTATGAACTGCACTGAAATCAAGGTAAGTATTGGCATTTAATATAGCCTAAATTGATGCAAGGCAAGTATCACCATTATATGGTACATGTCATTCATGTCTGCTAAAAAAGTTGAAAGAATAAATTACATGAACATTTATTAAAAAAAAAAACCCCTCATATGATACCATGAAGATATACTAAAATAGAACATATTAGATATTATTTTAGTGTAAATTATATTGTTTTGTAAGAGATGGGTTTTGAAGTAGTCATAGCAATAGCCACTAAGGTGTTATCACTTCTTTCATTCACCAATTAGATTTTGTAACAAGTTAGTTGATAATATATAAAAGATAGTCGACTATGGTTGTCTTAATATAGAAATTGTAGGTTCAATTTGATTATTTATCTAGAATTGTAGAATTTAAATAGTTGTGACTAGTTTTATATAAGGAGTTATGGTAGATATGTCAAAGAAACGAGATCAAATCAACCCCCCACAAGATTGCCCCCCACAACATCCTACAGCACATCTCCGCTGTGTATTGGGAACATCTCCCAATGATAATACCAGAAATGATGATGTCATCATCGGGAGATGTTCTCAATACACGGCAGGGATGTGTTGTGGGATGTTGCGGGGGGCTGATTAGAACTCCAAAGAAACAAAAGAAAGAAAAAAATGACAAATGAAGAAAAAATGGAATGCTCTTGTTTTTCTCATTTCTATTATTTTTATTATTAGTGTAAGGGCATGCATGCAAGTAAAGATAAAATTATTGACATTATATAATATGGTATTCTAATTTAACTTTTATGACTTGCATCATAATGAAAGCAAGTATCAATATTCTATTATTTTTATGACATTAAATAATATGGTAGTCTAATATAACCATATATATATGATACTATAATTTAATTTAAGTTTTATGACATACACCAAAATAAAGGCAAGTATATGCATTTAATGTGAACTTTTTAAAAACCAAAGCATGTATTATCAATATATGGAACATGTGTAAGGCACATGCTATGTATGAGTGTAAGAAAAGGACAAAAAAGTTATGAAATGCCATTTACCATGTATGATTGCACTGAAACCAAAGCAAGTATTAGTATTTAGTACAAATATAATACATTATAAAATAATAGACATTCTTCTAGGGTGAATTGTTTTTTACTAGTTTTCAAGTGTAAGTATTCACAGCAATAGCTAGTAGGGTATCATCACTAGACTTGTTTATCGGCCGGGTTTG